TGAAATTTAAGTGATTCTTTGGTGAGGCACTCTCCGATTTTACAATATCACGGAGTAAAACTTTGTGAAACCGATGAAATTATAAAATTTCAACATTATAAAAAGGGAAAAGTTTAACTGCCATGTTTAGCTCAGTTCCTCTTTCTATTCCAATTTTTATCCTTTGAAATACTTTAAATAATGCAATTAGTTAAGAGGTACTAAAATTGAAAAAAGGCAAATTGATTATTTTTTTGTCTAATATAACCTGGTAATTATGATTTCCAGGGATAAAAATTCTCGAATATGCTTTTAAATTTCAAAGAGTCATTCTTTTTCATTTCTGTGAAGTTCATTAGCAGCAAAAGTAGAAAGTTATCAGGAATGTTATCAGTATCTAAAGTGATCCGAGAGCTTCTTCATACCACCCAATTGCGAACATAATTAAGAATCCCGTGATAAAGCCGATATTTTGAAGCGACAGTGTAATATACCATTTATCATTCGTCGACGCGGATTCTTTTTTCAAATGTACCAACTATAAAAAGAAAGTGCACAAGCATTAAAAATATATTTGAGAGATAATTCAAAATCAACTCAGACTGAATTGCCAAATCAAGCTATTTTAAGTTGAATTAAATCAAGTTTCCATTCTTTTCCTTAATTTGGTTACTGATGTAAAATTGAAACTCTGAGAATTTGAACATTCAAAAATCTCTTAAAAAAGTATTACTCCATTGATACTGACAAATTATTAGGAGAAAAGAAATTTGTTGACATACCATATCGAGCCAAGCAACGTACAGAAACATTCCGGCCGTTATGGCAAGCAATATTTCCACAGCACTGTCCACACTAATTGCCGCTAAACCAACAAATAATCCCGCATAAGCGGTTAGAGATGAAAGAAAATTCAAGAACATCGCTCGAGGAATAGAAAGACCGGATTCGATTAAGACCGCAAAATCACCTGAATTTAATTTAAACATAGCTTAATTCAAGCTAAAAAATTCAAAAATATAAAAAAGATAAAGACAATATGAGCAAAGCAAAATTGAAATCTAATATTTAAACACTGCAAAATTCCAAATTTCTTTTCTCTGAACCTATGCTTTTAATTCGACTTTTT